AAGTGTGGGAAGGGGAGTCCTGGGCAGGGGCAGGGGCAGCCCTCGGACCCCAGGCCTGGGCTGGGCGGGCAGAGGGCACAGAGTGTAGAGGCGGCCAGGCTTCCAGTAACAGGAACCTCAACTATGCGGTGACTCAGGCCCCGGGCAGCCAGGCCTTCCTTCCCCGCGGCCTGTCAGCAGAGGACGAGGAAGCCGGGCTGCTCCCCTTCCCCCGGGAACGGGGAGAGGCAGGCCGAGATGGGAGGGTGGGGGAGAGACAGAGTCCCAGAAAGGGGAGCGGAGGCCGGTGCTCCCCTCTCCGGGCCCCTCCCACCCGCCCTGGCCCCGGCCCCGGCCCCGGCCGCGGCCCTGCTGGGAGGGAGCGGGCGGGCGGGCGTTGGCTGCTCCCATCATTCCAGCTCCCTCCCTCGGCTGCTGTTTACGAGTCAGTCGGCCCAGTCCCAGCCCAGCTCTAAGCTCTTCTCTTCTCCGTCCTCCCTCCCTCCTTCCCTCCCTCCTCACACAGCCTCGTTCAATCACGTCTGGCCAATTCTTTACCTTAGTCCCGACCGGCTTCCTGTCATTTCCTCCCTCCCGCACACCCCACACTCACAACGCACCAGCCTCTGGCCTCTCGCTGAGGCTTGGGACCCAACCATCCGGAGTGGCCTGGCCCCCAGCCCTCCCCCCCCTTCCCCCCAGCCCTCTCTGCTCCCTGCTCTTGCCCTGACCATCTTTAGTTGCCTCTTTTCCTCCCAGAATCTGTCAGAGCCCATGCCCTGTCCCTCGCGCCCCTCCTGTGTCCGGGCCTGCCGGTTCTGGAGGTTTCAGCGAGGCGGAATGGGGAGTTGCCGCTTCCGCTGCCTGCTCTGAGCTGCAGGGACTCCTTTTTTGAAGCCTCGGCCTGAGACCCAGGCTGGCACTGGCTGGGCTGGACCCGGAGGCTACCTGGCTGCGGGTTCTGAATGGGACGAGGATCATGTGGGAGAAGGAATGTTTGGGTCCGGGGTCACCCCATGGGCTGCAGGGCGGCTGGGAGGGACAGATGAGGAGGCCGAGGAGGGGGTGAGTGGAGTGGCTGGTGCTTGGCAGGGAGTCTGCCCTCCGGCAGGGCTGGGTGAGGTGGGTCCTGTGATCCGATGGTCCCCCATGGCACCCAGAGGGCTGGCCGTCAGGGCTCTGCGGGGAGGGTCCATGTGACAGCGCCCGCGGCAGGCTGCTCCGCACTTCCTCCGGGGTGGGCGTTTGAAAGCCACGATTCCTCTGAGCTGCCCGCTTCTGTTCTCCGTACGCTGATGTCAGAGGGGGGGACTGTGGTGAGCGGGAGGGCAGGGGAATCCCCAGGCCCGGGGCCTGCCCGCAGAGCGCCCCTTGGTGGTTGCTATGGAAACACACACAAGCATAATAGGAACAAAACAGGCGCGTTGCTGGGCAACAGGAGTCCAAGTTCAACAGACACTGCAGTACAGATGAGGGAACCCCGAGGGAGCGGCCGGTGCAGAAACGGGTATCCCGGTGACGACGAGTCCTGGAACTCACCTGGCGCTGCCAGGGCATCTGCGGAGCCCAGTGGCCTGGGACTTTGCCTCTGAAGCGGGAGAGGGAGTGCCAGCCGCCCGCCCGTCCTCCTGGTTCCTGGAGAGCCCTGATTCTGACACGGAATCGGAGAGCGGACAGAGCTGATCTTTGCCACGTGGGGACCAAGGGGACAAATTATAACTAAAAAGTAATGTGTGTGTCTGTGTGTGTGTCTCTGTGTGTGTCTGTGTGTGTCTCTGTGTGTGTGTCTGTGTGTGTCTGTGTGTCTTTGTGTGTCAGTGTGTGTGTGTCTGTGTGTCTTTGTGTGTCTGTGTGTGTGTCTGTGTGTCTTTGTGTGTCTGTGTGTGTGTGTGGAGGGGTGTGAGGAGCTGTGGAGATGACCTGACAGAACAGATAACATCCAACTTCTCCAAAGCACAGGACTGCAAGGAACTCGGAGTCCAAGGGAAGGGGACAGCAGAGTCCGTGTCCCTCTGGCCTGAAGGCCTGCAGGCAGAGCTCCCGTCCTGCCAGGTTCTCTGCCTGCACCAACACCAGAGGCACCGGCCCGAGCTGCATAGAAGTCTGCGGGGCGGGGTGCTGGAGGGGAAACTGAGAGCCTGGGGAACCGGAGGGGCAGGATGCTGGTGTGAAAAGGACATGCGCAGGGCCAGGTGCACCTGTAGCTCATTCACTCACTCACTCACTCATTCATTCATTCACAACATGCTTTTGACTGACCAAGTGCAGCACTGCTCTCAGCACGGCATGCAGCAGAGAGAGACACGCGGCCCTCATGGAGCTTCGGTGCTAGTGGGAGCTTGACTCCTGCTGCTGAGGGCTGTGTGCCTGCAGGTAAACCACACACCCTCTCTGAAGCCCTTTCTCCTCGAGGAGTAAGTGAGCTAACACGTGGAAGGGCCTGCGCGGAGTCAGACACAGTCACCCGGCAGGTAGCTGGGGCGGGGGTTGGGGGTGGGGGTGTGTGTGTGTGGGGCTACGGCAGTGGGCAGAATAGGGTCGGCAGAAATTCCTGAGTGTCTTCAATGACATCGCTGAAAACTGTTGAATAAAAAACCCCACAACTGTTGGGTAGATTCCCCCTCACCCCCCGGGCTATTGAATAGGCTGACCTAGGGGGACACACCCCCACTCTGGTCACAGCAGGCGGGGACGGGGTTTCTGAGGGGCCAAGGTTACCCCTCTCTACCTAGTAGCCTGGAAGCGGTAAGAGCCAGTCACAGGAACCCCACCCACTCTGCAGCAGTCCCCCGAAAGAATGAAGAGTCTGCTCAGTAATCACCGCTCTGCCCCGCCTGCTCCCCAAACCAGCCCGTCCTGCCTTCTTCCCTGCTGATCCAGAGGGCGGCCCAAATAAAACAATGGAGCAGGAAGGCTGGTGCCCAGCCAGGACACAGGCCCGGCTGCTCACTCCTGGGGGGCCGAGCCGAGGTGAGGGGTGAGGACGCAGCTCCCACACCCTCTCCTCTTCCTTTCCCGCCCCGCCCCTCCCTGCCAGCTCCCCTCACCCTGCCTTTGCACACGCCTCTGTCTGTGTGGCACAGGTCACAGCACCACCACCTTTCTGCAGGCCTAGGTGTGAGCGTTTCCGGGGTTTTACAGGACCTGGGAAACTTGCACTTTCAAGGAGGCAGATGATTCATTCCATAAAGTTAGAAATCGCTGGGGAAACTGTCTCAGTGGTCACCGCTGGGCAGGGGGGAGGAGGGCGAGCAGGGAGGAAGGAGACCTGCTGTGCCTTGTTCACGGTGGTGCATGGCTTACATGCATGCTTCACCCGAAAGAGGTGTTGATTTTTATTTAAAACACCTCAACGTGGACTAGCTCACGTGTAGCAAGCATCACAGGCCACTTTGCCAATATTCCCAGCCCATACTTAAAATGCTGAATAAATGTGAAAAGAAAGAGAAAAATCGAATAGGCCATCGGTAAAGGAAGTAATTAGCTTTCGGTTTCTAGTTGGTAAAAGCATCAAAGTTGAAAAGCTTAGATTTTTTTTTTTCTTTAAATAAGGTAGGTGCTAGGAAGGGGGGCAGAACAAATGAAGGTGATTCCTCAGCAAATCCGGCTGTGACTGTGACTGTATGATGTGTGTGGTGGGGCTGCCTCGGCTGGGGATTTGAGTCACTATTTGGGTATGTGTGTGTGTCAGAGAGAGAGGGAGAGAGAGAGACAGACAGACAGACAGAGACACACACAGAGACACAGACAGGGAAACAGAATGCTGGTGTCCAAGTTTCTCTCTCTCTGTGCCTTTGCATGTTGATGCCTGTCGGAATGTCTGCACATGTGTCTCCACCTTCCTGTGCCCATTATCTGAGTGTCTACATGCCTGTGTCTCCTCTTGCTGTCTCTTCCCTCCCCCACGGCCTGTACCCTGTGTGGGTAACTGGACCTGGGACACAGCCCCCAGGGCTGGCAGCAGAGTTGGCTGCCGGGTATTTTTAGCCCGTAAACATGTTTGCCATTTCAGAGCACAGGGCCTCTGCGCTCGGCCCCAGCCCACTCAGAGCTTGCCCGCGAGGAGGGCGCTCCTGCCCAGGCCGGGCCTGCTGGGTGCCAGCCTGGGGTCTCCCTGCCCCACAGCACTGGGGAGGGAAGGGAAGCTGGCTGGGTGTGGGCGGTGGGTGGCCATTCCGGGAGGGAGCATAGTGGATTCATGGGGGAGAAGCGAACGGGGGTGTGCAAGGGGGCGTGTGTAGCCAGAAGGCCCCCGCACCCCATCATTAAGCATTTAATAAAACCTCCATGCGCTTGGAAGCGGCTGTGGGAAGTGGCTGTAAACGTGGAAACAAAGCGTCCTGCCGGCGGGAGTGGGGGAGGGGCCGGGACAGGGTCCGAGAGGGCCGGGCAGGGAGGGGACGTGCGGAGCTCGGTGGCCTCGGGGTCCGGGCAGGTGGGCGGCGGGCGGCGCCTCCGAGGGCTGCAGGCCGGTCCCCCGCATCGCTGCGCGGCGGTGAGCGCCCGGGACCCGGTTCCAGGCCGGTCCTGGGGGGAGGGGCTGGGGGCCCCCGAAAGAGGGAAGGGGGTGCATGGAGCTCGGGAACCAAACGACGGGCCTGGGCTCTGCAGGGCAGCGGCCGGTGCTGAGAAAGAACCCCAAAGGCCAGTGTCCGGCTGGACGCCCCAGCCCCGGCCGCTTTGGGAAGGAGCCCCTGGGTCCTTCGTGGAAAACGGTCTGGTTCCCGGTTCCCGGGACGGGCGGCCTCGGGGACCCGCGGCGGCTTCCTTTGCCCCCGTCGGTGGGAAGTCCAGGCCGCGGCCGGGCCAGGGGGCGGGTGGGCAGGGCGGCACCGCGGACACGCGCCCCCGATCCCCCGTCTCCCCCTCTCCCCGCGCCCGCCCCCGCCCCCGCCGCAGCCCCTCCGGCCCCTCCCGAGCCCGCCCCGCGCGCTCGTCCCAGCCCCGCGCGGGCCCCGCCCGGCCCCGCCCTCCGCGGCCCAGGCAGACCCGCCCGCCGCCCCGCGAGTTCAAGAGCCGCCTCCTCGCACGGGGGCCCGGCCACTCGCAGCAGCTCCGCCGCGGGGACTGCACCTCCGCCTGCCGGACCCGCCCCGCCCGCCCGGGGCTCGACGCCGCCGCCGCCCGAGACCGCGGGCCCGCGCCCCGCTGGGCTTCGGTGCCGAGCGCGCAGGTAGGGCCCGCGCCCCGCGCCCCGCGGCCGGGGGTGGGGGGGCCGCTGACCCGGAGCCCGGAGGGGAGGGGCCGGGCTCCGGCGAGGCGCTCTGGGGGCGCCGCGGGGAGGATCCCCGGTTTGGAACGAGCGAGGCAGCGCCCGGGCCGCGCCGGAGTTGGGGTGCGAGTTGGGCGAAGTTGGAGAGTCGCTCCGAAGCATCGCTCGGGCCCGCGTGGCTCCGGAGGGCGGGCTGGGGGCCCCGCTGCGCCGCGCCCCGGCCCCCGCCCGCTCCCCGGGGCGGTGGCCCTGCGCGCCCTGCGCTCCTGTCCCATCCGCGTGGACGGACGGACGGGGGACGTTCCCGAGGGGGCGACCCCCCGCCGCCCCTCCCCGTCCCCACACTCCGCCGCCGGGAACTCCCGAGTCCCCAGTCCTCCCGGCCCCACCCAGCCGTGTCCTCCCGCCTCTGGGCCTCCGCTCCGGGCCGCCCCGAGCCCCTCCGGCGCCCCGCCCTGCGCCCCTCCGCTCCGGCGCCGGGCACTCCTCTCCCGGGCCGCGGACTGAGTTCGCCGCCGCCCGCGGGCCGGGGCCGGGGCCGGGGCCGGGTGGGGGTGGGGGTGACCGGGGAGATTCCTGCGCCGGGTGGGCGGGCGGGCGGGGGTGCGGGCGGCGCGGCCTCGGGACCGCCCCTTCCCCGGAGGCGGCGCTCCCCTAGCCCACCCCAGCCGTCCGGGCGGCCCCCGCCCTGCGCCTGGCCGGGCGCCAGGGCTGAGGAATGTGAGGCTGGAGCCGCCGCTAATTCAAACCAGAGCCCGGGGAGCGGCGAGGGGCCGGGGGGGCCGGGGGAGCGGCGGCCGGGCGCAGGGGGCCGCGCTCTGCAGCCCTGCGCCCGCGGCGGCTCCGGGGTTCCCGGCCGGGAGCGGCGGCGGGGCGCTGCGGGGTGGACGCCCGGGTTATGTAAGGCTCCCCGTGCGGGACCGGAGGGCGAGGGCCCGGCCTGCCCGGGCTGGGCGCCCCCGCGGGGCCAGGGCGGGGGACTGGGGGGCGGCCTGGCGGGCGGGAGGGACGCGCCGGTCTGCGCGCGGCGGGCAGGGCCCGTGCGTGGGAGGGGGCGCAGTGGGCACACAGGGCACCCCAGCTCTGACTGGCCGGAGTCCCCGGGGTGACCACAGAGAATGGAGCCGCATGTGCTGGTTCTGGGTGTGGCCGCGAGGCGCCCGGGCCAGGGGGGGCCTGTGCCCTGCGAGGACTGGGCCGGGAAGGCAGGGCGGACCCTCCCGGGAACCGGGTCCTTAGAGGATTGCCTGGAGTTTTTTGGGGAAAGCTATTGACCGAGGTCCCCAGCGCAGCCTGGGGCTCCCGGTAATAAGTTTTGGAAGTTTCCTGAGTTAGAGCCCAGCTCCTGTTGCAGGTCACATGTCCCGGGACAGCCCCGCGGGGCCAGGGCCGCGCTGACTTTGCGGGTGCAGTGCTGCATTGGGGTCTGTGGGGATAGGTGAGGCCAGGGAGGGGAGGGTGGGGGGCTAGAGGGGGAGCTTGAAGGTGCCTCGGGAGGCATGCCAGGGCCTCCACGCGGGTGCTGGGTCCAAATTGGGGGAGTGGATTGGGCTTCCAGCCCCTCTCCTCTCGCCCGCCATCGGGGAACCCTGGCAGGGTGTGGCCCTCACTTCCTTTCCAAAGCTGAATGGGGAAGCGTCCCTCTTCCCGCACCGGGATGAGGGGCTGGGCCGCCCTGGCAGGGGTGTGTGCAGGGTGGAGATAGAGGGAGCCCAGGCTAGGGGTTACCTCCTTGCTGGGGGGGTGAGGGCGGGCGGGAGAGGACCTGGGACCCTGAGGGCCGGGCGGGCAGAGGGCGTGAGGTCGGAGCCCTGACCTGGAGGCTCTGCCCAGGGACATTAGTCCGAGAACCGGCCACCAGGCAGCCAGCTTGTGCTGCTCAGGCCGAGTCCCACCGCTGGATTCGAGGGTCCAGCTCCGGGCGCCCCTGGAGAGCTGCCCCCGCAGAGCTGAGGCTTCTGGCCACCTGGCCTCGCTCAGGGTGCGGGGTTCAGAGCCAGGGTGGGGGGGGGCTGAGAGGGCGGAGGCCAGCCCGGCCACGGGCAGGCAATGAGCTGGGGGTCCCCTGGGTGGAGTGCCAGGCTGGGTTCTCTGGCTCAGCGTGGAGTTGGCTGCCCGGCCTGGCAGAGCGCGCCCGCAGAGCCTGAGGAGCTGGTTTGAGGGGTTCAGGCGGAGCTGTGGGGGTGGAGGAGTGTGTGGGGCGTGGGGTGTGGTCACCACCCTCCTCAGAACTTGGGAACCGCCTGGGGACAGACAAAGGGGCAGACTGGGAGAGCTGGCTCCCCCCGCCCCAGCCCCAGCCCCCCCCCGAGTTTCCCTCCCAGGCGCGGGGCAGCGTGGAAGGGAGGTGGCCGCTGGAGAGGGACAGTCCCAGCAGCAGGGTCCGGCCTCTGCTCTTTGTTCCCACGCTTCACGCGGGAGCTGCCATTGCCGGACCTCCATGCCGGCTGCAGGGGGGTGGGGGGCCGAGGGGGGACCGCGCTGGGCTCAGCCGGAGTGTGGCTCTGGGGCCGGGGTTCCCATGGGGCCTGTGGGCCTGGGGGTCGGGGCCAGGGCTCAGGCTTCACGGTGTCCTGTCCCTGTGTCTGCCCTGTCCCGGCCCGGGGAGCCCCTGTGACCTGCGAGAGGCTCCCTCCCGGTGGGCCTGGGTGTGTCATCGCTGGGTGTGCCTGTGGCTGGTGGGGCTGGGACCGGTGACTGCAGAGCCGCAGGGGCTGCAGGTGGGGACGGAAGTGACTTTCTCCGTCAGGGACAGTTCTGGACCCTGGAGCTGGTGTCTGAGCCCGGGGGGGGGGGGGGGGCCGGGGACGGCGAGGACGGACCTGGGAGCGAGGCTGAGCGCGCTGCGCTGGGGCCGGGAGGGGCATCCTGCCCCGTCCCGGGGCCCGAGCGGAGGTTCCAGGGGAAGGGGAAGTGCTGGAGCTGAGTCCGCTGCACGTCCTGCTGGGCTGGGGGCAGCTCTTCAGCAGCCAAACGCCCTGCAGTGGCCTGGCCCGGCCACTGGGTGGCGAGCTGGGCATCGGTGGGGGGCTATGGTCTGGGTGCCCATGGGGCCAGGGGGCAGCCCCCAGGCTGTAATGGAGGCCCCGCCTTCGCTGGCTCTGGGCCGGGCGTGAGACCTGCTGGAGAAGGCAGTGCTGTCAGGACGGGGGGCGGGGGGCGCCCCTCTTGGTCAGGGGAGGACGAGGGGAGCTCCTTCCCCTGGAAGCGGTAACTGGGAGCTCCCCGGGGAAGTGGCCAGGGGAGGGGGCGGGGGAAGGCCTGGGGCTGGGGAGGCGGGGACACCCTGGCAGTCACGGTGGAGCCCAGAGTGGGGTGGGAGTGGGAGAGGGTTGTGGCCCAGGCATCAGGGAGAAAGGCCGGTGCAGGGGGGGGGAGGGGAGGTAGGCAGAGAGCCGGGCAGAGTGACCAGGGGGCTGCCTGGGCCTGCTCTGACAGGCGTGGCTGTGGTGGGTGAAGGCACGGGCTCTGGGCTGCTCAGAATGCGGGATGGGGCCCGGCTGGGGCGGCTCAGTTGGCTGAACATCGTCCCATGGGCTGTGAGGTCATGGGTTGGATTCCAGGTCAGGGCACATGCCAGGCTGGATCCTCAGTAGGAGGTGCAGGAGGCAGCTGATGGATGTTTCTCTCCCCCTCTCCCTTCCTCTCTGCAATAAAGAAAAATGTATAACCACCTCCCCCCAAAAAATATTTGAAAAATAAAATAAAATTGAGTTATTAAGAAAGAGAACAGGGAATGGGGCTGAGAGCATGTCCGTGTGCTGGGTGTGCACACGTCCTTGTGTGTCTTCTCCGAACGTGTCCCTGGTGAATGTGTAATTCTCCCCGTGACTCCATCCCCCAGCACACACCCCATTCAAGCGGAGAGTACCCCCTGGTGTCCCGCCCAGAACCCGCTGGCCCTCCCGGTGCCCCTGGGCGGCGGGTCTGCATTCCTCCTGGTGGGGAATGTGCCTCGCCCTCCGCGCTGCCTCTGTGGGTCCTGGGAAGGGAAGGTTCACTTGGCCTTGACCCGGGGCCCAGGACAGTGTGCGGGTGAGCTGGGCCTCGGGCAGCCTCGCCTAGACTCCTGGTCAGAAGACCCCTCCGACCCCGGGCTCCGGACGCCTGGACGGGCTCCGGACGCCTGGACGGGCTCCGGGACGCCTGGACGGGCTCCGGTCACCTGGACGGGCTCCGGGACGCCTGGACGGGCTCCGGACGCCTGGACGCCTGGACAGGCTCCGGACGCCTGGACGGGCTCCGGTCACCTGGACGGGCTCCGGACGCCTGGGCGGGCTCCGGGACGCCTGGACGGGCTCCGGTCACCTGGACGGGCTCCGGACGCCTGGACGGGCTCCGGGACGCCTGGACGGGCTCCGGGACGCCTGGACGGGTGCCGGACGCCTGGACGGGCGCCGGACGCCTGGACGGGCTCCGGGACGCCTGGACGGGCGCCGGACGCCTGGACGTGCGCACTGGGGGTGTAGGGCTCGCTGGACCAGGTGAGGCCCATCTTCCTGTGGGCGTGTCCCTGGTCCTCACCCACCTCCGGTGCAGCTTTCTGTCTCTGTGGTCTCCCCTGCACAGTCCTCTGTGGTTGCTCAGGGTGTGTGTGTGTGTGTGTGTGTGTGTGTCTCTGTGTGTATGTATGTTTGTGTGTATGTATGTTTGTGTGTGTATGTGTGTGTATGTATGTGTGCGTCTGTGTGTATGTGTGTGTCTCTGTGTGTATGTTTGCGTGTGTGTATATATATGTGTGTGTATATGTGTGTGTCTCTGTGTGTGTCTCTGTGTGTATATATGTGTGTGTGTATGTGTGTGCGCGTCTGTGTGTGTGTCTCTCTGTGTGTATATATGTGTGTGTATGTATGTGTGCGTCTCTCTGTGTGTGTGTCTCTGTGTGTGTGTATATATGTGTGTATGTATGTGTGCGTCTGTGTGTGTGTATGTATGTGTGCGTCTGTGTGTGTCTGTGTGTA